AGATGGAGAGTATCACTCCTTCAAAGCCATACCTGAAAGTGACAGATTTGTATGATTCACACAATTAGACAAAAATGAATACAGTTACATTCATATCACATCAGACGACGGCCACAGCTATATTATTGTTATCATAATGACTGTTTGTGACTGTTTGTGCTAGAATAGAAGTAGTGATATTTATTAGATGCATGTTTTTTTCCAAGTGGAATCTGATGACTATTACAACCACAAATTAGTACCACACTATTGGATGTTCTTTAAGCCCTTCATTTTACAGTGATTGTGAATACTAAGAAAAGAAAGGTCATACCAGTACCTGACATAGGATAGATAAGAGCTCCACTTTAGGTATTTTGGAATGGTGTCAAAATTTACAAAGAAACCAGAGAAAAGCAGCACTGGTATAGCTGTAACTGGACCCACAAAGGTGGCTACCTGTGAAACAAATAAGTAAATTAATTTAAAAAGTCTGGCTTAGTAATGGATAAGAGACAGAGAGACAAATAGATAAAATAAAATAATGGGAATAGGTACAAAATGTCTGAAGATATGATAATGAATAACATACAAAATTGTTTATTTAAAAGGACAAAATATGCTAATTGACTCTGCAACACAGCGAGTGGTTAAAATAATTCCATCTGCCACACTGGATAGATCCACCTAGTGTAGAAAATACCACTCCCAACTGTGGGGGGATTTTCACTGTCGTGTACAACCACATGGAAGAATGTACTGAAATGCCTATTACATTATTAAGTCAAAGTACATTGTACTGTTTGTTAAAATAATAATAAGCGAAACTTAATCTGTTGTCCCTAATGCCAATACAAAATAATGAGTTTTGCCCTTACCTGCAGAGAGGTTGATGCAGCGCCTATTAGAAGACCCAGAGACTGAGCTACCAGTGCTGTTGATGTGGACAAGGCCATGAAGAGAAGGTATCGACTTGCCTCTGGTGGCTGTTCAGTCATCCAGTACACTATACTACAGTACATTATTGGACAAATAACCTGTAAAAAACACTATAAGCTGTTAATATGCTGCAGTTCCCATATGTGTAATCCCATACATATGAAATCATAAATCATATTCAAACATTACCTGAAATGGTATATCAGCCATGGTTTTAGCCAAGTAGTATGCTTTTAGACTGTACCAGTAATTGAGATGTTCCCTTAGAA